GTTGCATGCATCAATTTTAACAACCATTCGATTCACCACACAAACCATAGTGCCAACATGATCATGCAAACATCATTACTTGGAGCCCTCAAATCTCGAGATTTGGATAGCGAACTAGGCTCCAAGCACACATACACATCTATGCCTTAAATATAAACATCCCCCACACTTAAGCACGACATTGCCCTCAATGGAGAAGAGGGACAAATAAGGGGAACGATGTTACCGGGAAAACAGACTACCGAGACTGGCAACTGGAAGGAAGATCAGTCAAGAGCAAGGGACTAGAGGGTGCCAGTTTGAAAGGCATCGAGCTAGAGTCATCAAAACACACTGGGTGATAGAAACCATAGTTCCAAGTGGACAAACTAGAAAGAAGGAAAATAAAACAAATCGTGGTGGGGTTGCCTCCAAGAGTGGATCCACATCGCTCTTCACGTACAGCTTCAAATGGTGGCCATGCACACGACGGGTGTGACCACCAGCATTTGTCAACTCGATCTGGCCATCTGGGAGGATGCAAGCGAGTGAATACTCGGATGGCCAGGGCGATCGTTGCTCTGGGGCCGGGACCAGCTCATAGTGGTCTCCAGCTTTCTTTTGAGCAGGCTTAGCTACCTGCAGTTTCGGTCGCCACTCCTCCTTGATCTTTTCTTTTGGTAACGAGACGGACGGGAGTGGTGGCGCAGGAATGAGAGGAGAATCCTGCAAAATGGAAGGCATAGAAGGATACACGACAGACTCGTGCACCTAGTGAGAGACGACATGCAAAGGTGATAAAGCATGCATATTATTAGCAATGGAAAACGTTATCTACTCTCCGCCAACTCTCAAGACTAAGGTCCCATCATGTACATCAATGATAGCCTTGGCGGTGGCCAGGAAAGGCCTTCCCAGTATAAGGGGCACTTCTGCGTCTTCATTGATGTCCAAGACAACAAAATCCACAAGATAAAAGAATCTGCCAACCTTAACCAGGAGGTCTTCCACTATGCCCCTAGGATGAACTACAGATCGGTCAGCTAATTGAATACTCATCCTAGTTGCACTGGGTTCACCTAGGCCTAGTTCCTTGAAAAATTTATATGGTATAACATTGACACTAGCATCTAGATTCGCCAAGGACTTCTTTACATGAAATTTTCCAATGAAGCATGGGATAGTAAAACTACCTGGGTCCTTCTGCTTTGGCGGAAGCTTGTTCTGCAGAATGGCCGAGCACTCCTCGCTGAGCTCCACAGTGGCCAGCTCGCTAAGCTTCCTCTTCTTCGAGAGAAGCTCCTTCATGAACTTTGCATACTTAGGCATCTGAAATAGTGCCTCCATGAATGGCACTTGAATATTCAGCTTCATAAGCATGGACAGGAAATTGCCAAACTCTGCCTCGAATCTTCCTCTTTCAACCCAATTCTGTGCGAATTATGGGGAGAAGCACGGTCGTGCTTACTCCCTTGGTCGTGCTTACTCCCTTGGTCGTGCTTTGACCAAAACGAGAGAAAAACGGGCAAGTCTGGGTAAAGCACTGGTGGTATTTTCCAAAGCACGCTCGTGCTTTTCTCCTTGGCTGCCCGTATTTTGGTTTTCTTTAGCACTCTTCATGGTTGGATCTCTCAATAAAAGCACTAGCAAGATGATGAAAAGCACGGTCGTGCTTTTCTCCTTGCCTGCCGTATTTTGTCTCCAGAATCGCCAAATAATCTCCAAACGACCTGAAACATGCGCCTAAGCGTTCGTACACCTGCTAGGACATGAAATATGACAAAATAGCACAGCCTAGCATAAAATAGGCCAAAGAGCAACCAAATCGAGCCAAAATGGTTAAGATATAAAGGTGCAAACATGTGCAAATATGACGTTATCACCCAACTTTTTAAGAACGGCCTCCAACACTCACATAATAATTAGCAAAACAACATAAAGCATGCAAAAACCACTCTGTGGAACCTCTATGAGATGCAAAAATGTGACTTTTCATTGAAGACACGAAGAAAGAAAGTTACACGGCTCAAATGGGCTGACTAGGGGGTATGACACACTAGGACAGTCAATTTGGTCGTGGGTTAATCCTATGCCTCCACCATCCTAATTAGTGGCAACATGAATGCTACACATCATGGAAGAAGGATCTATCGTACAAGAAAGAAACGAGCAGGCTCAAATCTCACATGGCTACCTATATGCTCTATCTCTCATTATGATTCCCTGAACTAGATGCATAAACGAATGTAGAAAATGAGTGATCAATCCAAGTCACAGTTGGTAAGCAAACAGTTGAAAAACTGAACCCTTACACAACTCTACTGCACGTCTCAGTCATCATTATAGGTCGTCTGGGTCACAAACAAGTTATCATGCATCAATGCTAACGGCCAATTGATTCACCACATAAACCACAGTGGCAATATGATCATGCAAACATCCATACTTGGAGCCCTTAAATCGAAGATTTGGACAGTGGACTAGGCTCCAAGCACACAAATACATCTAAGTAGTCAGAGAGAAATACCCCCCACACTTATGTTCGACATTTCCCTCAACGAAGAAGAGGGAAGGATAAGGGGAACGATGTTAATGGGAAAACAGACTGCGACAGGACTAGAAGGGGGACCATTCAGGAAAGGGAGACTGGAGCGGGACCTGTTGCTACAATAAGGGCTCACAAAACAACCACTAGACCATGAAATGTTAGGTATAATTGCCAACCAAATGGGTTCAAAAGAAAAAGGAAACAAACACACCAAAATAGTTCAAGTACCCACACACATGGAGCAAACACAACGAAAAGGAAAACAAAAACACACATAAGACGCCGACGAGCACATCCTACTCTTTGGCGAGGACGTCTACGTCGAAGTCGATGTATGCCATGAAGTCATTGTCACCCGGTGGAGGTGGTGGTAGGGGCGAGGCCTCCCATGGGGTTTGTCAGGAGAGGGTGGGTTACCCAGGACCTGCTGTAGCAAGTACTACTGCACCTCCTTCATCCGGCGGGCCTATCCGTGCTCATGCTCGATATGAGCGAGGGTGGCACCCAGATGAGCATCCATGCGGTCAAGTCTCTCATAATGCACAACCATGCGTGCAGTGTATTCCCTGTGATGGGCATCGTACTGCTGCTGGAAGCAGACCAGATGGTCCAGAATTTGTTGGTTCTGAATACCCAACTGCTGGAACTGGAGGCCCATTTGCTTGAACTGGTGGGAGAAGTAGTCCTGGGAAGGGATAGAGGAGCTGCTACCCTCGTGCTCAAAAGTACTATGGTGGAAGGTCGGGTGGGTAGCAACATCTCCCTCATCTCTAGGCTCGACACCCTATTCCATCTCAGCGGGCTTAGGGACGGCTGGTTCAGGTATTCCCTCGACCAAATTGACTCCTCGCGACTGCCACAACCACAGCATCTTGGAAACCGTGTCCTCCCCAAAGGACCATTTCCCGCCCTGGTCCATGCAGTTCTGGTAATCGATATGGAGGTGTGTGGCCAACACAGTGATCAGTGGAATGTAGTGGAGGTCCCTAGAGTCACCACACTCTTGGCAAAAGTCTTCGCCAGAACGGACCCCAAGTGTAGCTTGTGGTGAGCGGTGCACATCAAATGCATGAAGTAGAGGGACCGCTTGGTTAGGATGCTGACACTCTCGCTGCTTGGAGCATAGGACTTCGTCAACAAGTGGTGGAGGAGACGATACTCAATCTGCAGCGTGCTGGCCTTCGTCCGACCAGCGGTGAAAGAGACACCAATCGGGTAGCAAGTCGGGAAAGAGACACCTGTCGGGTTGGCGAGCTTGATGTCAAAGTCATGAGTGTAGTCGGGCACGAGGTCGAAGTAAGCAGCAAACTCATGGTAGCTCATGGTGTGGTACTCTCCTCCCAACCGGAACTTGATAGCGTCACTGTTCTTCTAATCGGTGGTCGGTGTGGTCAAAGGTGGAGTAGAACTCGATCACCAAATCAAAATAGACCCGATCATGCAAGAACAGCAGGAGGCGCCACATCCAGTTGCAAACAACAACGTGGAGCGCGTCATAGCAGTTGATGCTATGTAATGCCCTCTTGCTCCAGAAATGGTGCTTACTAAACTTAGCCTCCAGGACACGTCTAAACTGGGCTTTGTGGGGTCCCGACTTTAGATCTTGGATGAACCGATGCTTCAGGTTGGGCTTCGACATGATCCTTCAAGAAAAAGAACAAAAGTGGAGCCAACAAACAACCATGTGAAGGTTAGCACACCCCAACACTTGATTGGAAATATATCCAAACCATGGTGCCATATATAGGTCACGAGATAAAAACTCGATCAACGAGGCACAATCAAGACTTGATTGGAAATATATCCAAACCATGGTGCCATATATAGGTCACGAGATAAAAACTCGATCAACGAGGCACAATCAAGACGGGGGTGTCTCCAAACATTCAATTAGGCAACATGAGGTTCACAACCATACAAGCACATCATCGGATCACGCTATTTACGGCACCAACCAGCTCCCACAAAAGGGTATGAAAAACAAACATTTTATCAAACACCTTGTGTGTAGGAACAACACAAGGATATAATTTGGGTACTCCCAGCACACACGGGCTCAATCAAGTAAGAGAAACATGCAATAATATATTCAACACCTAAACCTAGCCTTCCCCTTGGTCAATTTCTACCATATCATGCATTTCAACTCAATTCTCTACCTAAAAACCATAACACCCAATTCTCCACAATTCACAAGGTAAAGGGCAAAATCAAACCTGGAGACTCAAGTAGAGGTGTAGGGGAAGGTGAGGGGAAGACAATGAAGGGGACATAATTCAAAAATTCTGCCTGGAAATGCTCGTCGGAGCCTCGCCGAAAATTGCCTCCGGCGACCCAAAATCGGCCCAAATCTCCTCCAAACAGAGCGAGAGGTCGCCATGAGGGAGAGGAGAATGGGTCCGAGACCGGTTGCACGAAAGAAGAACAAAAATAGTTTTTGGCTAGAGATTTGAAAAAAATGATGCTGCACGGCCGTACAGGGTCTCATTTATAGGCAACAGGTTGCGCTGCACGGGCAGCGCATACGACCGTGCAGACGAGAAATTTGTTCGTATGCGGCCGAGGATTCCGTACGGGATGGCCAAGGAATCTACGCAGCCGTGCAATGAGCAGCCTTGCCCATACGGGTTTTCTAAAAACTCCACACGGCCAGGATTGCGCAAAACGCAACCATACCGTTTTGGCCGATAATTCCGTACGGGCTGGCCGAGAAATTCACGTGGTCGTGCAACGAGCCGCCTTGTCTGTACAAGTTTTCTAGAAAGTTCACACAGCCAGGGCTGCGCAAAAAGCGGCCGTACCGTTTAGTGACCTGGCCGTGCAGGGTGCCAGAACAGTGTTTCATCCATTTTTTTCACCAAAACGAGGTAGCCAACTCCTTTGAAACGATAACAATGAAACAAATAAGACAAAAATCAAAAGAAAAGGTACAAGAAATGCAAAACATGGTGGAGTTGCCTCCCCACAAGCGCTTTCTTTTACGTCTTTAGCTAGACGCAACCAGTGGAACTAAGGGTCCACGAGTTCAACCATCAACTCCACTCGTTCGACCTTGCCTTCAAGATACAACTTGAAGCGGTTTCCATTCACTTTAAAAGGCTCAGTTTGCGGGTTGGAAATCTCAATAGTGCCATAAAGGAACACCTTCGTGATCGTGAACGGTTTCGAACATCTAGAGCGGTGCTTTGCAGGAAAGAGTTTCAGGCGAGGGTTATAAAGAAGAACTCGATCGCCAACCTGAAACTCCTTCGGGGCCCACAATCGAGCATCGGGGAGATGCTTAGTCCGCTCATTATACAACAAGGTGTTCTCGTAGGTGTGGTAACACCATTCCTGCAGCTCCAACATCTGCATCTTGCGTTCAGCACCTGCAAGGCTTATATACAAGCTTAACGGCTTAAGGGACCAAAAGGCCTTGTGCTCTAGCTCGACAGGAAAGTGACATGCCTTTTCATAGATTAGCCGATACTGAGAAGTGCCAATCTGCGTCTTATAGGCAGTTCGATATGCTTACGAGGTCTCTAGAACACAGCTCCTAACGACACCAAAAATTTGACTCGCTAAATCACAACTCCTAACAGTGGCAAAGTGTAATTAATGAAAGGGTCTGCAGTATAGTGGTGCAAGTTATAAATATCGAATCCACGAGGTTGCTAGATTTACTATTACTCAGCTTCATCTTGTTATTTTGAAATCAGATTTAGGTTCGATTAACTAAACTATTCCTACAAGCTACTCTAGGTTAAACTACTAATTACAAGTTGAGAACTAACTTCGGTATGATTCCCCCAGCCTCTAGCCAGATTGATGATTGGTGATCTCTAAATTGTTTAACGTTCATTCAAAATGTGGAGAATCCTTGACTAGACATTGAATATCGACTAAAGAAGTCAAGGCCCTCCTGAGTCAATTGCCTAGAAGGACGTATCCTTCTCTAGAGCAACCGATCAAGGCCTTCTGAACTAGATTCCCTCTATAAAATGAGGTTCTTAATCGATAAAAAGCAGTGAATCGACCCTCGACTATAGCAATCGATCTAGTACTATCAATCTATGGTGCTCCATTGGCCTAATCAGGTATTCGCTCTTATAAGATCAAAGTAGAATCAATAATCTCGACTAAAGCATAATTGAATCATAAAATCATGCATAAATTGAATATGAACTCAAGGTTATCAAGTAGGAGTAATCATACAATCATCCAATCAAACAAACATAGATAGGGTTCCTCAAAACCTAAGTGAAGGGAAGTTACTCTATACGGAGAGAGACTGTAGTAAGAATATTCAAATGTTCAGTCTTCAAGTCCGGGCTTATTCCTCGGGCTTGCAAGGCTCCAAAATTGCCCTCAAAATCCATTCTTCCTCGGGTCATGCCCGAGTTTCTTCCCCCGTGTCGCCAATTTATTTCTAATGATTATAATCGATTGAAGTGTGTTTATTGAGTCAATTGAATCCTGATCAACTTCTTTTGATTTTGCTGCAACCCGAGATAGATAGAATCTGATTAGGTTGTTAGAGCTTCTTTAATCGATATGAGTGAATTGATTATACGAGAGTTAGTCGGTTTACTGCTTTATACTGGAATCTGGTTCCAATAGTGGAGTTCTATGTTAATTGCCTAAGCTTTCTATCCCGGTGAAGACTAGTCGTCTGCCGATTAGTCTGTCTAAGAGGGCTTGGTCAACTTAAGAGATTCTAGGCTACTTTTGGATCTTCCGCAGTTTAATCAACAGTAAATCAACCTAAGGAAATTAAAACTTGGACCTAATTAAGGAGCTAGGTGGACTCATTCCCGAGTGACTCTTCTCTTGTTTTAGGAAACCAGACAATTTACTGCTTTCTTTCTGCTTTAGTTTAAACTCATTTTCACTAAACGTTCCCGCTAGATAATAGATAATCACGGAGTAGGCAGTATATCTAGGCCCTGGGTTGAAATTTATTACTTGATTCCACTATACTGCATTTCCATTCTGCGATTACACTTGGTCACAGTTTGGTGTTGTGTCGTAGCGTGTCAAGTTTTTGGCGCCATTACCGGGGACTTTAGGTTATTGTAGAAACGTAAAAGTCTATTACTTTAGCATTTTCTTTACTTCATTCTCTCTCTTCCACCTGTGTGCCTTCACGGGTTGCTTTTGCTGATTGTGTGCAGGTAGTGCATGACCCGTAGCTAGTCGAGAGATCTACTGCCATTGGACCAGGAGATTGAACAAACATGTCGTAACCTCAAGCGAACTTTGAAGGCACGACTGGCTGCGGAGGAAGCTTTGGAGCATCTAAACATCAACCAGGAGGAAGAAATGGGTGAGCCTAATGCTGGCAAGAAGCTTGTCCCCGATGAGCATACAATGGAATACTACTGGACCGCCAGAGCCGCTATTCGAGGTCGCCCATCCAGCACCCTCAAGTTCCAGCTAATAACTTTGAGGTGAGCACCTATGTTATCACCATGCTGCGTGGCTCAGTGGTATTCCGTGGAAAGGACGGGGAGTGCCCCAGATCACACCTACGACGATTCCACGAGCTGATCGATAGAATCAAGATTAATGGGGTCCCTTCAGACGCCATCCAGCTGAGGTACTTACCATTTACTTTGGAGGGGCAGGGCAAAGAGTGGATGGACACCCGGCCTCCAAGATCGATCACTACATTCACCAGCCTAGCTGACAAGTTCCTCACCCGCTATCACCCTCCATCTAAGACAACATACTTGCAGAAGGAGATCACCCATTTTGCACAGGAAGAAGACGAGGCCATCCGGGACGCATGAGAGAGATACACCAGTCTCTTCCTAAGGTGTCCCAATCATGGTTTCAACGATGCTTTCAAGGTGGGCAACTTCTACCGAGCTCTCTTCCCTGAAGATAAACGGCTGATGTGAGAGTCTAGCACACCATAGGAGCAGCTGAATTTCATTAATAATGCTCGGCTCAACGAACCCTATAGTAGTACATACAACAAGGGGTGGCGCCAGCATCCAAATTTCTCCAGGAGTGGCAACAACAATCCCAAGCCACCAGGCTTCCAGGTTCTTGTACCTGGTTTTCAAAACCAGTGACAGCCATACCAGTCTCGCCCAGGCAAGATGCAACAGCAGCCATTTTATCAGCCCTAACAGGGGCAGGCTTTTTAACAGCCCCCACAACAGCAGTACTAGAATCTTGGTGCATCTCTATTAGTCCCAACACCGGGCGATCCCGTGTCAGAATTGAGGGATCTAGTGACCACCTTGGCCAACAATAGTACCCAGTAGTTCAATAAATTGGAGCAATTCATGGAATTGGTTGCAGGAGAATTCATGGAGATTGAAGCTAGCTAGAGGAACCAGCAGGCACTCCTGCAGGATATGGACACAAAAATCGGGCATCTGACAGATGCCCTTGCTTTCAAACTGGCTGGCACACTTCCTGGCCAACCCCTGCCGAATCCTAGAAATCATAAGGAGGGGTTACACGCCATCATGCTGAGAAGTGGGACTGTGACTGAGGATGCACCACCGAAGAGTGCAAAGAAGGTGACGCAGATAACCCCGGAGCCGGAAGAAGACCTGGTGATGGAAAAGGAGCCAGAGGTTCGGGCTCCAAAGCCCCAGCCAATAGTGGTTGAACATAAGCCTAAGTTCCCTTTTCCCACCAGGATGCACAAAGACCGGCTAGAGGAAGAGTTTGGGAACTTCATGTCCATGCTTAGGAAGCTGAATGTTCAAGTGCCCTTCTTGGATGCACTATCTCAGATGCATAAGTATCCGAAGTTCCTAAAAGATCTCCTCTCTAAGAAGAAAAAGCTGAACGAGTTGTCCACTATGGAGCTCAGCGAGGAGTGCTCGGCTATTCTGCAAAGCAAGCTAGAAGGACCCATGTAGTTTTACTATCCCGTGCTCTATTGGTAAATTGCATGTAGAGAGGTCCTTGGCAGATCTAGGCGCTAGTATCAATGTTATACCATATAATTTTTTCAAGAAACTAGGCCAAGGTGAACCCAGTGCAACTAGGATGAGTATTCAATTAGCTGACCGATCCATAGTTCATCTTAGAGGCATATTGGAAGACCTCCTGGTTAAGGTTGGCAGATTCATTTATCCTGTGGATTTTGTTGTCTTAGACATTAATGAGGACGCAGAAGTGCCCCTTATATTAGGTAGGCCTTTCATGGCTACCGCCAAGGCTCTCATAGATGTGCATGATGGGACCCTGATTTTGAGGGATGGTGAGGACCAGATAACATTTTCCATTGCTAATAATATGACTGCTATCTCGTGTGTGCATGCTTTGTCTCACCAGGTGCACGAGACTGTCGTGTATCCTTCTGTGCCTCCCGTTTTGCAGGATTCTCCTCTCATTCCTTCGCCGCCATTGCCGTCTGTCCCGTTACCAAAAGAAAAGATCAAGGAAGAGCGGCAGCCAAAACTGTAGGTAGCTAAGCCTGCTCAAAAGAAGTTAGAGACCACAATGAGTTGGTCCCAGCTCCTGAGCCACGACTGCCCTGGCCATTCGAGTATTCACTCGCTTGCATCCTGCCGGATGGCTAGGTCGAGTTGACAAGTGCTGGTGGTCACACCCGTCGTGTGCATGGCCACCATAGGAAGTTTTTACCTCAAGAGAGATATGGATCCGCTCTTGGAGGCACCTGTTCCTACATTGCTATGAGCATCCACTCTCTACGTCCAGTTAAAGACGTAAAAGAAGCGCTTGTGGGGAGGCAACCACACCACAGTTTGCTTTTCTTTTGTTTGTTTTTGGTTTTTCTACTTGAAACTATGGTTTCTATCACCCAGTGTGTTTTGATGACTTTAGCTCTGTGCCTTTGGACTGGTCTCCATCCAGTTTGCTTCTGATGAAGGTCCCATTTCCAGTCCCCCGACAGTCCGTTTTCGCGGTAACATCGTTTCCCTTATCTTTCCCTCTTCTCCATTGAGGGAAATGTTGTGCTTAAGTGTGTGTGTGGGGGGGGGGGTGTTTCTCTTTGATTGCATAGATGAGTTTGTGTGCTTGGAGCGTAGTCCACTATCCAATTTGATGAATTGAGGGCTCCAAGTACTGTTCCCCTGCAATAAACTGCTCAGTATGCTTTGAATTGACAGTCTTTATGGTGATATGCAACCTAGGGAGGTAGTTGTAGCACTATGGAGGATGTTGAAGCATAAGATTTTTCCTATCTATCTCTCTGTTGTGTCGGTTGATTTTGTGAACTATAGGATTTAGGACTGTTGATTCATGTGGTATTGATGACTCTCATTATGTTGTGTTGTGGACTCGTGTATCGAAAAAGGGTTCTCTAGTGTGAAATGAAAAAGCAGTTGATCCTCCATGTCAAAAATTTGAACTTTTAAAACATGGGGTAAGCCCAACGTGTGTGGCACCGTTCATTGCACAAAAATGGGTTTTGGAAGAGATTTTAGTGATCCTTAGTGGGGTAGGCCTACAAGGTGAAGCTAAGTCGTCTCTAGTACAAGTAAAAATTCCACCTGTCGAACGTTTTGCCTACTCGAGGATGTGTTTTTAAGGGCACGGATAGAGCTTGCGACTCCCCTTAATTTCATTGACCCTCCACACGAAGTGAAGAATAGGAGTTAAAAGAAGTACTCTGGTGAGCGAGAGATGTACATAAATTGCTCTTGCTCTCCCAATAAGGGTCGACTGTGCATAAAAACTGCAGTTGGAACCCCATCAAAGTAAAACAAAAGAAAAAGAAATAAACAATAAGGAAAAGGGGTTCCAACAAGTGAGATGAAATGAAAGAGCACCTGATACAAAGAGTCCTTGGTCGTTAAATTGTGTGAGTCTCCTTATCCATGAATTGGATGTGTTAGTTCCACTACTTCTCATGATCATGGTTTGAGTCTAGTACTCGCACTGAGAGAGATAGGGGACGTCTTAGTAGACAAGTTGACCTCGTAAGTTGCTAAATGATCTAGGAAATCCTCTGCCGACGATCGGGGTTGCATGTTGCTATAAAGGTCTGGAGAGCTGCATTGGTTTGAGTCAGGTTTTCTTGGGGACAAGCAAATGGTTAAGAGAGGGGGAATTTGATAACAATGTATTTGCACATATTTGCACCCTTGTTTCTTCTCCGTTTTGGCTCGTAGTCGTGGGTCTTGGCCTATTTTACGCTAGGTTGTGTTATTTTTTCATATTTCAGGTCCTAGCGAGTAAATGAAGGCATAGACGCAAGTTTCGAGTCAATCAGAGGTCGTTTGGTCACTCAAAAGCCTCTCCAAAAGTGGAGCTGGAGCAAAGCACGAACAGCCTCACTCAAGAAAACGGCCGTGCTTACTAGGGAGTGTGCTAGTGCGTTTTAGTGTGCTAGTTAAGTCGAAGAAAGGGAAAAACACGGGCGCCATTGCCCGAAAGCACGACCGTGTACCACGCTAGTGCTTTTTATGCCGAGAGCTGACTTTGAGCTGTCCCACGTGACTTTGCAAAACACGAGCAAGATAAGTTGGACACGGCCATTTCCACGCTAGTGTTTGGCCCAGTATCGGGTTAAACTGGCAGTTCGGGGAGGGAGAAGGGGATTCGACTTTTTGGAGCAAAAACAAAGTTCTAGAGAGAGTTTATGGAGTAGACCTTTCTCTCACTTGGGTATGAAGAACCCTAGTTCCATGTGTTAGGAATATGAGTTGTAATGACTTTTGGATTGATACATTGTTTGATTATAATCGATTGAAGTGTGTTTATTGAGTCAATTGAACCCTAATCAATTTCATTTGATTTTTGCGGCAACCTGAGATTTAATCTGATTAGGTTGTTAGAGCTTCTTTAATTGATAGGAGTGAATTGATTATACAAGAGTTAGTCGATTCACTGCTTTGCAGGGAATATGGTTCCAGTAGTGGAGTTATGTGTTAATTGCCTTAGCTTTCTATCCTGGTGAAGACTAGTCGTCTGCCAGTTAGTCTGTTTAAGAGGGCTTGGTGAGCTAAAGAGATTCCAAGCTACTATAGGATCTTCCGCAGTTTAATCAACAGTAGATCAACCTAAGGAAATTACAACTTGGACCTAACTAAGGAGCTAGAGGGACTCATTCCTGAGTGACTCTTCTCTTGCTTCAGGAAACCGGACAATTTATTGCTTTAGTTTAAACTCATTTTCACTAAACATTCCTGCTAGATAATAGATAATCACGAAGTAGGCAGTACATCTAGGCCCTGGGTTGACATTTATTACTTGATTCCACTATACTGCATTTCCATTCTGCGATTATACTTAGTCGCAGTTTGGTGTTGTGTCGTAGCGTGTCAGTACTGAAACCTGAATCCATAGTCTTCTCCTCCTTGATTGCTCCAGCAATGCAGTCAAAAGCGCGATTCTACCTAGAAATGGTAAAGGAGTAAAATCATAAAGCGTAGAATCAAAGCGTAAAAGCGTAAGTTTTTAATGCATCCTCTAACATTTCATTCCATCCCTTCGCCCCTAATTCCCCTTCGCCTCTAATTCCCCTTACTACCAATATAAAACAAAGAAAAGTCATACACATTATTGAAATAAGATAAGCTTGTTCTTATCCAACAAAATTTGAAATTTTCCATATAAGTGAAGCTGGGAGGAGAGCAATGATGAATAGAATGGAAGTCGGCCAGGAATCAGAATAGTGACTAGTGAGTGAACAATAAGAGAATAAATGAAAGGGTCAAGTCTCTGCTAAACAAAAGAAGAAGAATATCATCATCAATTCATCATCAGTCATCATCGTGTATTCAAAAGGGAGATTGAGTATTGATGGAAATGTCCAAATCTCTACTCAAGGATAAATGAAAACAAAAGCAGGGGATCACATATAACAATAAAAGCAGCTACGGTCCATTTTAGATAATATATGCATACCAACTGGTAGCTAGCTAGCTAAATGGAGCACCGAAAATTAAAACCACTGGGCATGAAAAGGACCATTCAACTTGCTAGCGAGCGCGAGAGTTGCGCTAGGATAATGAAAATGTTCTTACATCGGCAGATGTGTGTTGGAGCGGTGAGTTTTGCAGTGGTAGAGCGTGGTGGAGAGATGTTCTACAACTGACTGGTGGCAACGAGACTGGCTTATGCAGTCGAGAAATTTTTTGAAATTGCTGTCACCAATTCCTGCAGCGGCCAGTGGTAGAGTAGGCCGACAAAAAGTGAACGGGCGGGAAGAACTGGAGAAGATGAGCGCCGAGCGGCCAGGACTTCGAGGAAAGGAGGTTAGGGTTCTTGGCAAAATTGAATCCCCCTCTCATCTCTCGACAGTAGATAGATCGCTCGAGTCCTTACATTTTTCTTTTGAGTTAGAACACCGTAAAAGGCGTCATTTTGGCTAAATTAAGCCATTTTATGGCGTTCTCAAACACGGATAAAAGCGTAAAAGAAACGCGATTTTACCGTTCTTTTGCGTTTTTACCGCTTTTACCACCATTTTTATACGCTTTTATGTACAATCCGAATATAGGTAGAAACTGAAGCATTTTTGTGGTTTAGATAGGTAGAAACGTACGATTTTACTCTTTAAAGCGCGATTTTGACTGCATTGTGCTCCAGGAAGTCTGGGGTAATACCACTCGAGTGGTGGTGGATAGGGATGACAAATTACCCACCCATGGGTAATTATACCCAAACCCAAGTAGACCCATTGATAATGGGTTGGGTATGGGTGAAGTGCATATGGATTTGGGGGTTTATAGATTGGTTTGGGTAAGGTATGAATATTGCTTCTATAATCTAAATGGGTATGGGTTGGATATGGATATCCATTTACTTGAGGGTGTTTTAACTAGGGGTGGCAGTCGGTCGGTTTCGGTTCAACCGAAAACCAAAATCCCGGTTATCGGTTAAACCGAGCCACCCTACATACCTGCCGACCACCGACCGTGAGAGTGGTCACGGTTAGCCGGCCAACCGACCGGTCAGTTTCTGTTTTAGGCTCGGTTAGCCGGCCAACCGGAAAATACCCTTTAAAAAAAAAAATTAAAAGCAACAAAATTCTGAACCACTCACTCCTCACCCTCTC